AGCTCTGGGGTTGAGTTTTTACTTTGTATGGATTTGGATATTTAAATGGTAGGGTTATTTTAATGCATCTCGCCTTAAATACATCATTTTACATACTTTAACTTAATAATCAATTTATTAAGCATGCATGTGTGTGTGTGTTTTTTTCCCCAGCAACAAAGGTCTTGGGTACAGTCAAGTGGTTCAACGTAAGGAATGGATACGGTTTCATCAACAGGTAAATGCCCTTCGCTCCAGTGAGGACATGGATATGACCTATAGGCCAGGTCCTGTTCTAATCCTGTCATAGCCGTTAGGTACTTATTCCGCTGATGCGTCAGTCAGTCAGCACATGCTCATTTTACTACAGCTGAAGGGATTATTCAGCCAGTAAGCTACTGTGATCCATGCCCAGTTCCTCAGAGATGCCTTAACTCAGCATTGGTGAACAATATTAACTCATTAATGGGTTTTGTGTTGTTTTTTTTTCTGTTTACAAGGAATGATACAAAAGAGGATGTTTTTGTCCATCAGGTATGTATGTTTCATGCATATAGTATATCTGTACACTTCCTGTTCTGGTGCTATGGAAATAAATGACGTTGTTTTTTTTCCCCTTGGGTTTTAAGACTGCAATAAAGAAAAACAACCCAAGAAAGTACCTTCGTAGTGTTGGAGATGGAGAGACAGTGGAGTTCGATGTGGTGGAGGGGGAGAAGGTAATGAGGCTGTTGTGGGGGGGTACGTTTGTAGTAGAGCACGGTGTGGAGATGTGTGATTGCAAACGAAACAGAAATAGACTAGGATCCACAACAAAGTGGTGTAAATCAGAACAAGCAGATTTCTGGTGTTTTGTTAAACTACATTTATCACTTGATATCAACACTTTTTTTCTTTTTTTGTTTTGCGTTTGGTTAAACTTTGACATTTAGTTTTTTGTGTCTTCTTTGCTAGTTGAACTTTTCTTTACAAATGAATGTATTTTCTCTGTTTTGTTCATAGTTAATGAAATAAAAATGCATTCTTTACTTTTCTGTCCTGCAGTCTTTAGCTATAATCATCACACTGTTTGCACGTAGTTATGCTTCACTTTCTTTGTGTCATTTCTTGTGAAACGGTGCTTCAGGGTGCAGAGGCCGCGAACGTCACCGGGCCAGGGGGGGTCCCAGTCCAGGGGAGCAAGTACGCTGCGGACCGCAATCGCTACCGCCGTTACCCACGGCGCCGGGGCCCTGCCCGTGACTACCCGGAGAGTTACCATAGCGACGGGGAGGGGGACGACCAGGGGGGCCCAGAGGGCGGCGCGGAGAGCGAGCCGCAGCCCGTACAGCAGCGCCGGCCCGCCTTTCCTGGTCGCCGCCGCTATCCGCCGTACTTCGTTCACCGCCGTTACGGCCGCCGGCCCACCTACGCGACAGCGCCACAACGGGGGGAGGTGACCGAGGTGTGTGCTGCTCCCCCCCCCGTTTAGAGGGGGGTGTCCAACTTTCGGATGTCCATGGGGGAGGTGGGGGCCAGTGGGTCAATCATCGATTTCATAAATGTTTACCTTTTTTTTCCAGAAACAAACAGAATGAATGAACGTGAGGGGCCGTAGAAAACTGAAAATATAAAGTGAAAAAACCTCCAGTGTTCAGCCTCAGACCGGGGGGGTGGGAAACTCTTAAGTTACAGGAAAAGGGGCAAAATTTTATCCCTAACATCTCAGAAATCCCCACCCCATGAGCTTGTACCTGGATGGATGGATGGATGGATGGATGGATGGATGGATGGATTGATTGATTGATTGTGATTGTATTTGTAATGATTATAGCTCTTTTGGTCTCAAGCTGGATTTCTGAAAAAGTGATCTGAAGTGATACATATGTAGAATCTCTCAGTAAATGAGGGAATATTATCTGGCCGGTTACTGGGTTATGGAACCCTGATCTACTCGCTTGTTCCCATTTATCCGGTTTGGGCCACATGGGTCCTGGAGGCTGTCCCAGGCAGCATTGGGTACATCCTGAATGGGATGTCAGTCCAGCACTGGGCTTACACACAGATACACGATGGTGTTTTCTAATCCGGTCCATGGAGACCCACAGCCAGTTCAGGTTTTTGCTCCCTACCAGGGACCTCGGAGGGAGCAAAAACCTGAACTGGCTGTGGGTCCCCGAGGACTGCATTGGGATACACTGTTCTATGGGCAATTTAGAGAGTAACAGTCAGTCTAATAGCCTGATACAGGGGAACATGGAGGCTCCACTCACACAGAGCAGAGGCAGGATTTGAGCGCTCAGCCACAGAGGAATGAGGCAGTGGTGCTTATCCTGTGTGCCCCACTGCAGGGAGGTGAAGAGGAGGAGAACCAGTCTGGCCCAGAACAGAGCGCCAAACCAGCGAGGCAGAACTACTACCAGGGGTTTCGGCCAAGGTTCACAGCAAGGTCTGCTTCCCGTCGCCGTCCGATCTGGACCAGACAGAGCTTAAGAAAAAGCTTAAAGCAGTCAGCGGATTTTAACATTAACATTGCATATCGCACAGGCCTAATACATACATACAGAACCGAAATCAAGATAAAAGACTTATCTAAAATAAAAGACGTTTTTGGGGCGTACAATTTGTTTTTAGCATTTAACATTTTAATGTGTTAAAATCTGTGGATTTTGAAATGAAATGCTTATACTTTATTGATCCCCGAGGGGAAATTCTTGTCTTGCCTGCCTCAACTTGCTCCCTGTAGGTGAGAGCAAGCTGGCAGTGAAGGGCAGCCACCCGTAGCGGCGCCCAGGGAGCTGGGGGGCTTGAATAAATGTTACATTTATATAGTGATTTTTTTCAAGACACCCAAAGCACCGTACAGAAGCAATGGGGAGCTGCTTCAGCCAACCCCCCTGTATAGCCCCCACCTGGATGATGCAACAGCAGCCATTCTGCACCAGTACGCTCACCACACAGTAGCTGAGGTGGTGAAGGAGCAGGAGAGAATTCACCAGTTACATAAAGGGGATGATTAGGGGGCCAGATTTGAAAGGGCCACAGTGGGCAATTTTAGCCAGGACATCAGGGTACCACCCATACTTTTTCAAAAGATGCCCAGGGATCATTTACGACCTCAGAGATTCAGGACCTCGGTTTTACGCCTCATCTGAAGGACGGTGCCGTTTTTACAGCACAGTGTCCCTGTGACTGCACTGGGATTCACACTGACCCCAGGATGGGCTTAACCTGTCAGCCACACCAAACCTCTTCCAGCAGCAGCCCAGCTTTCCTAGTTGGTCTCCCATCCAAGTACTGGCCAGACCCAAACCTGCTTAGCTTCAGGTGGATTTCATAGTCTGAACTGCAGGTGGTGTGACTGCTGGCCGATTACAGGCACTGAGGCTTAGCTCACTGACGGCAGTGGGATGTCATCACTATGCAGCGCAGTCCTGACCTGCAGCCGCGTGTTGAAATAATGTTTTTCTCGGATGTTTTGCAATGCGAAGCTCGCAGACCAGACCAGATTAAGCTGGGATGTTTCTTTAACACACGGCAAAGGAATTTCAGTGACTGTCAGTAGTGTGTCGATTTCTCTGCAGACATTTCATAGAGCACAACTTGTGGTTTTTATACATAACATCTACTTATCCAAAGAAAGTTTGTTTGTACAATTACTTAATTTCTGCTCATGTGTCCAAGTATTTTATTTTCTGGATAAATTCAACTTTTGTTGATTGGAGTCCTACCCCCCCCGACTCAGGGCTCCCCCCCGTCCCAGACCACCCCGGGACGCTGAGGAGGATAAGGACGCCCAGGACACTTCCCAGCGTCGCTACCGCCGCAACTTCAATTACCGGCGTAGGCGCCCGCAGGCCACCCCTGCCGGCACGAGGCCCCAGGACGGCAAGGAGAACAAGGTGACCGGCAGGGTGCCAGAGAAGCCACCCGCTCCCGACACCGAGCAGCAGGGCGGCGCCGAGTGACATGCACCCGCTGACCGTCTCTACCATCATCCGGGTGGGTCCACAGGCCTGGCGCTCTGACGGGACTTTAGCTGCTCCTTCACATGGGCAATGAGCAGAAACCCTGTTTCAGCACCAGTGTTGTAGCCCATAGGTGTAGAGCTGTTCTCCCCGCACTGGAGGGTCCAGCTGTTTTGCCAGTTTGTCCCTGTAATCAGCATCTCAGCCTATAATTGGCCAAATTGGTGTCTCTCTCTCTGTGAGCCAAAGAAACCAGCAGGGGGCGAGCATCGAGGGAGTGGGTGTGGCCCCGCTTGGTGTTCTGTCCAGCCCAGTTCACTCTGCAAAGACGTTAAATCCCTCCCTTAATCTTGACAGTGAGTTGTGTTGGGTTGCTAACACCTGCAAAAAATAAGGTGGTATCGCAGTGGATCCAGCAGACCACACTGGCTGCTTCACTCAGACCCTATTTCCATGGTGCTGGGATTGTGCATGTTGAGCTGAATTAAGGCCACTTTGTTGAGACACTATCCACTTCAAAGTAATTGCTGCGCCAGTGATGAGCTCAGATTCACCAGGCTGTAAACACCTATCTTTTCGAAGAAGTGCAGCATGTATTGTAGTAAAGAGGTGGGTTTGTATGCAGAGGGTTGCTGGTTCAAATCCCTGTGAGCATGCTTAGCTCTCACAAAACTTTGCACTATATAAATGCTTGAAATTGCTTCTTTGTGGAAGTCAATGAATGAATCTGATAATGCAAATTTTCTGTTTCAGCTGTCAGAATGAACCACTGAAGATCTGAGCAATAAGGAGCAGATTTAACTCGACATCGAAAGCTTGCAGCTTGACCATGTGACCAGAATCCCACCAATTTGCCTGCAATACCTATGCAGCTCCATTTGTTTTCCTTTACTTTTATGTAACAGGTCAATTTTTTTTTCCCCAAAACGGCAGACTTTTCTAAAATCGGTCTTAAGTTTTTACACAAGTTTTTAAAGACAAGTAATTTGATATCTGGTCAATTTGACATTTTTAAACTTTTTATGTGTACAACATGAATTTTAACAAGGCAAGCGCAAATAAAAGTCAAAGGAAGAATCGTATATCAACATTTTTATTATGAGTGACAGCCATAAATCTTTGACGGGAAGTTGACACAAAATATGGTCAGATTTAAAGTACCACGTTTAACAAAAGTTCACTAACAAATGCATCTATGAAAGTTCACAGCAGTTTCACACGTCAAGAAGCCACTTTACGGACTCCACCGGTAAAGTTACACAGTTCATCCGAATTCCAGTGAAATGTTGGCCCTGGATCTTTGACCATTACAATACATAAAATATTGTTCCGTCTGGTATTAATTTACTTTTATGTACATTAAAAAACACAAACCATTCAGTAGCCATTTGACAATTATCCATTCTTTAGTCCCTAGCCTCCCTCGTCCAGGGCCAGACTGATGATGGTCTGTCTAGGAGTGTGATGTCACTACCTGATCTGCTGGTGGGGGGGGGGGGGGTCACACGTTGGTCTCGCGCAACCTGCGCATACGCCGCATGTTGCCCTCCGCAACCACGCGGTCTGTGATCTCTGTGGTATTGCTCGCAGGAAACCAGCCTCTCTCTCCATCACGCATGCGTTCCCCATAGTACCAGCCTGCGGGGGGGGCATCATATGATGTGGTGGACCCCAATACACTCTGTTCTGCACATATCACCCTTATAGACCAAGCAGTGGTCTTGGTGGAAGCCTCTCGCGTGCTAGTTCCCTTCATCCACTGAAGTGGCGTATTAAGTGTCAAATACTAAAAAATATTCCTTGTAGGGACATATGATGCGGTCCAATTGCCCTCAGAAATCGGATTCCGAGTTTTGAAGCCGGAAGTGACGACATGCACCCTCCTGTTTCTCGGATCTCCGAGAAATATCTCGGACAGCACAGAGGATCCTGAGTTCAGAATCCAAGATGGCTGCGCCATTTATTAACAGAAGGGAAAGTTGTAGTCTTATACTGTTTGAGCACTACTTCTCATTTGTGGCTCATTAAATCGGTCACACACACTATACCGTCCAACTTATCTGTGGACGTGTTTCTACGGAGTTTTATACGTGAAGCACCACGCATAATGTGTTATCAACTGATATTGCTAACAATGGCTACCAATTAACCAGGCTACAATTGGATTTCATGATTAGTCGGATTATTTGTCGGATTTAAGGTAGTTCGGGCTAATTGTAAGTGAACGAAGATAAAGGCCATTTAAACTGAGGTACCTTAAATCCGACAAGTCGTCTGGCTAAGCAAAAAATCTTGCCTTTTCATATGGGTCCATGGTATTGCTAATTCTGTGGCAAATGGATGTGATGTAATCTCGGAATCTGAAAATTGGATCCCAAGGCAAATGGAATGCACTAATACTCAGGACTGGACTGGGATTAAAATCAGCCTTGGACTTCTACACTTACAGAACCACCACACATACATATCTACAAGGAATTTTCTGGCCCACGAACCCTCCAGCCCACTGGAAAAATGCCCAATACACCAGACGGCCAGTCCAGGCCTGGATATATTGTTCAAAATTCACTTAAATCCACAGTACTTCAGCCACCGGGATCAAATAAAGTATGTCTGTTTAAGCTCACATGACCAGGGGGGGGGGGATTTAACTTTGTTTCATTCATAAAAATAGATAGAATTTTGCATATTAATTACTAAGCTGCCCCCCCACAACATCAAACTCCTACGCTATTGCGTGAGGAAGACCATGAAAGCTGCACCTCCTCCCAGAACAGGGTCAAAACCACAGCCCCAGAGCCACAGCCAATCTGGCGTAGCAGAAGTCCTGGCAGATAAGAGGATTTATCATGAACGGGTTAATTATCATCTCACCTTCCTCTCTCTGGAGGATGAGCACGACCTCAGCCTGCTGCAGACCGAGCTCATCTGACTCTTTGGGCATGTAGGCCTTGTTCACCTCACACTGCGTCAGACCTGAAGGCATCGGAGAGGAGTAGGGAGGGAAGCGTTCAGAGAGCAACAGCGTGGGTGAGCGTAAAGGTGAATGAAGATCCTGAAAGGGGAACGTCTGTAAAGGCTTTTGGGCTCCTTACTGGAAGTGGGGTCTGTTTGTTTCCGTTTACGCAGAGCGGTCACCCAGCGAGCGCGCTCAATCCTGAAGGAGTGAAGAAAAGCAAGGATGAACAAACCTCTCTCCCCAGCATTACAACACGTAAGCAAGGCATCCCCCATCCACCACTTAAGAGTTCGCTCCGTATACGCTAACCACTGTGAAGCCTCTGATTTAAAAAATGAAAGTGTTTTGAAATATAACATATCTGTATGTAATTAATTTACAGCAAACTATGACTTCAAGATAAAACATTTGGAGCTTGCATCACTTTGTTCAAAACAGCAAGATTCTTAACATATCGCAATCCAGGCTGAGTTCATCATATGCACTTCTGAAGACAACCACCAGAGGGCATCAGGGAGAAAAAAAAAGCAGATTAACAGCAGCACAACAGGGAAAGCAGAAATGGGGGTTAGTGTGGGGCTCACTGAGACTCGGCCGCCAAGGCGATCTGTTCGGCGCGTCCCTCGCTGTTCTTCTTCATAATCAGCTTCAGAGGGAAGAGGCTGCTGCTGCCCTGCTTGGATGTTTGAGATTGCGGCCTGTCGGAGCCGTCCAGCTCCACCTCCACGTTGTCCATAGTGGCGTAGTCAATCACAGTGAAGCTCTCTTCACTGGAAGACGCACAGAACAATATAAAATCACGAGGCATTTATTCAAATTGACTTGTAACAGGCCTGCACTACATCACATCACAAAATAAATGCGATATTTGTCCAGTCGCCGGCTTATCGGACATATACAGACATCGTTATTCCCACGATTTGGTAAGCAGATTAGTAGCATGCCTACAATATTAATGAGATGCATACTGTGAAGCCCAAAAGTTAGTAATCGGTATAAATGAGGCGTATCCTATGTTTATCAAATTACTTTAACACAACACATGCTACTGTTTTGGTGCATCATGGAAGCCGTAAGCGTTGGCGTTGAAGAAAGGGACAGATCAGCAGCTACAAAATATTTTAAAAGAGGAGATATTGTGGATAAACAAGGTAAAAAGGCGTCGGTGGTGTGCTGCAGTTTATAGAGCGACACGTTCATTAAACATAAGGGGATGTCATCTGAAGTCCTGGTGATTACTGCACATGTGCGCATATAAATCGCGATGGTATACATTGTACAGCCCCGATCTTGTTCCCACCTCTTCTTCCGCGTGACGATGAGCACATCACTGAACAGGAGCAGGTGGAAGCTCTTGTGGCTCTTGTATGGCTTCCAGAAGATGCTGAGCTCCTCGGTGCAGACCAGCAGCTCCCCACGTTTGAGGAGCCAACGCGAGGCGGAGATCAGGGGGAAAGGCTGAGGGAACATCGCACTGCCGTGAGACGCCAGGAAAACACCGGCACTCTTTACATTTACGTGTCAAGTACGTAGTAAGCAGTACAGGAACAGGAGCTACATCATTTCAAACAAAGCAGGAACATAATAAGACTGTTAAATTCAGATATCACAGCATGGGCTTTTGTTTATTAATAAAAAAAATTCTGTGAAATAGGAACCATGCCAAAGGATCTAAGGCTTATGTAAACCTTTTGAGCTTGTAAACTTGCCTTAGGTGTTACCTGCATTCTGTATAGAGCAATTTATTTAAGGTATTATCTACATCCTGAACTCTCCTCCTCCTTTCTGATTTACTGCTGTCTTTACTGTCATTCATTATTACAGCTTCTGAGAGAGTCGCAAAATGCTTTTCATTATACTGTGCAGCTGTACACAATAAGCATCCTGAAAACACGACAGAGGTGACGAGGGTAAATGCAGCCTGAGGGCCAGGAAATCGCCATGGCAACAGTACCTTGATTTTCCCAAAGTCCATGTGCTTCTGAATGGTGTACATTTGCTCTGTTCTCTCCATGGTTCGGGCACCGTCATTGCACTTCTTCACCAGCTGAGGGCAAACGTTTGATATTTTGCATCCTTAACACTGAACGGCAAAATGAGTTTTTACCGAAAAAGAAACAACTGCCCTGGCAGGAAGGGCACCTGGGTCCTGGTGAGCATGCAGGCCTGGCCTGACCCCACCCTGTGCACAACGGAACAGGCCTCAGCACCTGTCCAATGGCAGCCCCTCCCAGAATACCTTGCTTATGGTCTTTAGCGCAAACATAGCAGACCCGTGTTCAAACGTCTTCTCAGGAGTCTTCTGACATATGGTCTATAAAATAATGAATACAGTTTTAAAATTAAAATGAACAACAAACACAACAATAATAGGAAATTATTCTGTTGTTCATGTTAATAATGATAAATAATAATAATGATAATGATGGGGTGGTCATCTTTATTTACTCTCTGTTGGCTTTTTGTTCATTTTATCTTTATCCTAAGTTTTGCGTTTTTACCTTTTATGACATATACTGATTTTTCCATGTTCATCTGGTTTTTAGATCACTGCACATTTCACTGTCATTCACTATATGATCTGAGGCATTCTGGGCTCTTCTACAAAATCACCCATACATATGAATTAAGATGTGACTGTTTGTCTGCTTGAAGTAGTGAGAGAGAGGGAGGTTGGGGGGAGGGGGGGGCACACAACTAACATCCAAGAGTAGCGGCAGACGGGTGACTCGCTGCATGGGGAGGATCAGGAAGGAGATGATGGGCAGACCCCCGCACTCTGCACTGGTCTCTATCCGCTTCAGCACCTCTTTGAATGCTGTGTTGCTTGCACTGCAGGACAGACAGTGGATATTTGCCTGTCAGCGATGTGCCTGAATGCGCACGCATGTGCGCGCACACACACACACACGCACACACACACAAGCGTGACACATTACCATCATTAAAATGACCTGTGATTTATGCCATGCTAACCTTTCTGTTGGTTTTTACCAGATGGGATAGCCTTTGTTCACATCTCGCATCAACGAGTCGTGGCCTGTCAGCGGATCCCAGTTTTTCCCTCCCCGGACCTCTCAGTCCGTACCACAGCTCAGCAAGACAATCCGCAAGAGATACTCAGACCCAGTCGTCTGGCTACGATGATTTGGTCCTTATCAAATTCACTCAGGTCTTCACCCCTGCATTCAACATGTCAGCTACAAGTACCGAATATTAGCTTACCGTCTAATATGTTCCAGACTTTGACTTTGGTTTTTACAAATTAGGTGACGTCATTTCGATTCAGAAGGGAATGGTGATAATGTTTTGACTCAATGGTGTAAACGGATGGTAAGAAGGTACTCCTCAGTGGCATACTTCAGTTACTAAGGGTTCCATAAAGTCTACAGGGCTTCTAGCTAGGCCCCACCCAAGGGGGGGGGACGACTCACAGCAGCTTCTGCAGTGTCCTCTGCTGGAAGGTCTCATTGGAGCAGTAGATGATGTAAGGCTGGAAGTGGTGGCTGGCATATGTTTGCACGATGTCACTAATGTCCCTTATCACAGGGTTCCCCTGGTGCCGTCTGTCCAGTTCCTCGAAGAACCTGGAGAACGACAATCAAATTATCTGTCAAGACAATAGGTACTGGAAAAAAATGTATCATTTTCACAAATCTGTTATAGGTTGCATCTCTGAGATCTGGAGGCCTATTCCCCGGGCATTCAGAAGAACATCCACACCGAAACATCAGCTATTTCCCTGAACAGGCGCCACAACTGTAGTGGCATATGAGCTTCACAAATGATAGTTACCAAGACAATAGAACCATGATTAAAACAGCCTGGGGTGATACTGGCAGAAAGGAGATCTCCTTCCAACATCCTGGAGAACCTAAATGATGAGAACCCTCAGGTTGCTGCCTAACATGTCCAGGTGTGAGTGGGCTCTGTGACGCAGGTCCAGGATGGCACATCTACGTGTGCCTCTAATGCAAACTGTGGTGGTGGTAAGATGTCCCAGTCCTACAAGGAGCCAGCAGCACAGCCTCAAACCAAGAACTTTCAATGTCCAGGCAGCTGATTTGCTGTTTCAGTCACGTGCTAAGAATTGCACCACTTAGGGAAAGGAGATGGGGTGGCCATCTTTATTTACTCCCTCTGTTGGTATGCGTTGGCTGGAAGCCTATGACTGGATGCCCATCACTGCTTGCCCAACCTTTGGCCTGAACCAGCCCAGTCCCCACTTAGCCTTAGAACCAAAGTTTTAAGACTTTTCAGTCAATCGGCCTTTGTTCTTGCAGCTATCCCTCACAGATAGAGCATCAACCAAATCTCAAGTCATGGTCTCAACAGAACGCCAGGAGTCCAACCATCTGAAGAAATAAAAACCGGCCACATGCAAGCAGCCAACAGCCCCAGACTCTCACCGCTGGCTGATGACCTGGATGACAGAGATGTTGGAGAAGAGGTGGTGGTGCTCAGTCTGCGTCATGGTCGCCTTCAGTTCCTTGTTGTTCTTGAAGTGACGCACCAGGATGCTCAGGCTGTGCTGGTAGGAGAACTCCGAGGTGATGATCTCAAACATGGCCTGGGGAGCACACACAAGGTCACTGCCGTCGGCAGGGGAAGCAAAACCCAAACCGCAGCAGCTAGGGGCTTTCACACTCACAGCCGCACCCCAGGGCAGATTCCGTTTTGAACCCAGAATGGGATCAGCTCTACAATCACCCATCCATCCAACCATCATCCATCTGGGTCATGGGGAAGCTGGAGCCAATCCCAGCATCATCAGGCAAGATGGGCAGGTTGCCAGTCCACCACAGGGCCAACACAGACACACACACTCACATACACACCAATGGGCAACTAAGAGTAGCCAGTCAACCTAATCTGCATGTCTTTGGACTGTGGAAAGAAACGGGAGCACCCAGAGGAAACCCACGCATGCACGGGGAGAACATGTAAACTCCACACAGAAAGGCACCCTGGGTGACCCGGGAATCGAACCCAGGACCTTCTTGCTGTGTAGTGACAGTGCTAACCACTGCACCACCGTGCCGCCCGCTCTACAATCAATCACCGCTAAATATATATTTAGTTTTTAGACAAGGAAGAAAATAGTTGCTTGGATGCAAGAGGTGCTTGAATACATACAAAGAACAAAAATAATGTCAAGATCTGAACAGTTCAGCCCTACAAAGGCGAATCACAGTAACTACACTGCTTCACAGTGTAGTTACAGTGTCCACCCATGTATGTAGTATGTAGGTAAATGATGTTTTCTTCAAAACCAAGCATAGCTGAACTAATATATTCTGTCACGAGGTAAAACAGAGCCTAAGAAACCCAATTTCAGTTATAATTCAATTTTGACATTGTTGTTCCACTGTATGGCAGAGTGCATATGGTAGGCAAAAATTCTGATGATTCCATTGTCATGAATGCCAACCATGACAACCAGATTATCACGTTTCAGGGAAACAGGAAACAGTTCAGCTGCAGTGTAGTCATTAAGACCTTCACAGCACAAATAGCAGTGAAATATGAGCCTCCGAAGGCGTTCAGAGTCGCGGGAGGGGCGGCTAAGCAGCGGGTGAGCACCTGCACAGGGTGGGGCACTGGAAGCAAAGAAATAGCTGAGTTGTAGGTGCGGCCGCCCGCCATTTGTGCAGGGCGGGTCCTTCCGTGTGCACAGCAGTGACATTTACAGCGGAGCTGAGTAAGATCACGCCACTGCACCGATTCACTGTTTCACTGACCGATTCCAGTTTCATTTTGAGGCGAGTTCCAGCACACTGACCTCCTGCCGTTTTCGCTGCTCCGCCCCGATGGAATGAAGGATGTCCTGTACCTGAAAGACAAACCCTCTGATAAAGATCACGGGGTCATAAGACCCCATGTACGACACAGACACAAGGACGCAGTTTCAGCTGAAGCATAACAAGCAGAAACAAAAACGAGATCTACAGCCCTTCATCTACCTAGAGATCCTCAAAACACCCAATTAGAGAAAGATTACATTTAAAGTTTAATCACGCCAAGAACAGTGTGCACCAGATAGATTTTGCTTGATGCTTTTCCCACAGTGGTTCTGTAACCTGTCCAATTTTCACCACTTTATCTATGCAGATGCTTTTCACATCCATTTTTTAAATACATCCACCAGTTTATCTGGAAAGCACAGGACATACAGTAAGATTCCAGTCCACCACAGGACATAAGCACAGTCGGTACCAAGTTAGGGCCAAAATTCTGAAAACACAACTTGTGTGTCTACATTACCGTCAGTATCAGGGATGCAATTCTTCCGAACCTTACGGTGGCAACATATATGTGTACAATAGTGTTGTAGTCAAGACCGCCTAAACCGAGACCAAGACATTGCCGAGACTGGAGGGTATCAAGACCAAGACACTGCCGAGACTTGAGGGTACCAAGACCAAGACCAAGACACACTAAGGCAAGACCAAGAGCAAGACTGGTCGAGACCAAGACCAAGACCGAAAACAGACTAGGGCTAGAATCGACATCACATTACTCAGATCAACTGTAGAGAAAAAAGGCATTGCTGTGAAGTGTCATTACTCATTAAATCAAATTCATGTTCTTTTCAATTATATTGTCCATATATCCATATGTCTCTCATTTAAAATCTCCCAGATTTGTCATAGTTACGAGGCCTGATGGAAAATAATATTCTCAGCAATCCTCTCCTATAACCATTTTATCAGACCTCGTCAAGGGAAGGAGATGGGATGTACCAGAAAGATGTTCATATTAAGTCTCTTATACCAGGGAGAGAGGCCTCGGGTAAGCTATGAATACAGCTATGTAATGATCCTTTGCTTTGAATTGAAGAGAATGAGCCTCCAGATTGACTTGCACCTCCAAGACCGTGCTTTCTAATCAATGTAAAATACCTAATTTATTTGAATTATAACTATGCTATAGACTTCGCGGACATTTCTTTGCCAACTTCGCTATGATGCGATGTGCATGATGTGTGTGGACTGTGAAACACTGGCAGTGTCCGTTGAGAAGATGTATAAAATGTAACGTTTTTAAAATAGATGCATCTGACTGGTTGCATTTGAATTGAGGTGCATAATAAATAATGATACTGTTCTGTGAGGATGTGCTGTTTTCTCTTTTTTTCCCCATCCCATCGAGACCGCTATGTCCGAGACCAAGACAAGACCGAGACCAAATAGGGTCGAGACCAAGACAAGACCGAGACCAAATAGAGTCGAGACCAAGACAAGACAGAGACCAAAAGAGTCGAGACCATGACAAGACCGAGACCACAAACAATTGGTCTCGAGAACGGTCTTGAGACCAAGACCAGTCTCGAGAACTACAGCACTAGTGTACAAGTGCTCTAACCCACCTCTCAAGCACCCCTCCATTTAAAATAAAAAATAGGACATACCTGAAATAAAATGCTTATTATTCGTGAACCACTACATTCACAAACTTTAGTCAGGTTTAAATCCTGACAGCCACAAAATGTTAATAGTCACACACCAATTTCTAAAAGTGTTACTTTACAGTAAATATTTTTTTATCTGTATAAGTTAGTGCACGCCCATAAATGATTTTGTGTTTTGTTTTGTTATTAACATTTTGCAGGACCCCAAAACACTGCAGACTACGGTGAAGACCACTCACCAGGTTATAACCTCACCTGTATTACCTGCTCATACCGCACAAGAATCCAAAAGCTACAGTGCCACTCAAAAAGACTGGACACGCCAAGCCGCCAACAAAGGAGAGTGATAGAGTTGCATCACATGACCTGGCCACCTGACCTAAACACAGCAGAAATTGTTTTGGAGGAGTTTGACCAGAGAGCGAAAGAAAAGCAGCTAATGAGTGCTGAGCATATATGTGGGAGCTCCTTCAGGACAGCTGGAAGAGCATCCCAGGAGGCCACCTCATGTAACTGGCATGGAGGAGGAAGTAAGGTCAGCCAGTCCCTGGAACAACTGGGGTTAATGGTCTTGCTCAAGGGCCCAATGGTGGGATCACTCTGCCGACCCAGGGATTTGAACCAGCACCCGTGTGAATCCCAACCCACGAAGCAATTTTTTTGTTTAATACTTTAATACATATATGTTATTGCATAGTTTTTTAATGTATTATTGTAAAATGTAGAGAATAGTTGGTGCATCTAAACTTTTGACTGGTACTGTACATGCCATATGCTGCCTTGCAAAGACAGACCTCATGAAAGAGACCAACCGCTCCACGTTTCACCTGTGTTCTCCCTTCAAGGTATGACTTAGCCGCAGCTCGGTTCCTAAATGGAACACAGCGATCCTGAATTACTACGTGCCAATTTTTGCAAATCTGTGAGAATCTCAAGCATTCGCTTGCATAAATTTGCATTACGAATACATTCTCTTCAGCTGTTCTATAGTACTTTAAGTAGGAGGCTGGAAATTTTCTGGTTTCAAGTTATTGCCAATGCATCAATAAATCGCGATGTGTGATACTAATATATCACAAGTTAGACCAGTAATGCTAATTATGCTCAGCAAGTGTGTGTGTTCAGTGCCGGTCAATGGCCACATGCTCTCCACTAGCAAACATAACCACCAAATTTCACTTTGTTCCGGACGGCGTGCTCCTACAGGACTGGCCCAAAGGGTTCCACCCACGTGTGTTTTAATGGCCTGGAACAAAACCGGTAAACCAAGTTCTCCTGAAAACGGCTTACTCAGGATAGATGACACTCAGGGCTGCTGCACACGACAGCACCCAAACAAACAAACGTGAAGTGTAAATAGTGGATTTTTTTGTTATCTTCTGCTGACAACCATCTTTCATCTCTAAGCAAGTATAACTAGATATAAGATAAAACCAATGGCTCCCCTCTCCCAGCAGGGCTGGCTAACTAACTCCTAGATAAGGCAAGTTTGGGAAGGTTACAGTCCCGTGTGGCTAGACCAGGCAGACAGCCAGGGAATCCCCATCTTGTTTACCTGTGGAAGCTGACTCCAGGTGAGCTGTGTGGGCCGGTAGCTCTTGACCACAATGTCCCGCTCGGGTTGCTCATCCGTGGCCTCAGAGTCACCACTCTGCCCCTCGGAGTGGAGACCTCTCTCTCGGATCTCCTGGTACAGCCGGGGGTCTGGGGAAGGAGAGAGGGCTCTTCTATGAGGGGAGGCTGCAGGTTCGAACCCAACTGTCCCCCCAGAGAGCTTAGCTCTAGATCCCCAGCACTCTACACTTCACAGCCTCTACTGAATACATACTAACCAAGCCTTCGAGGAATTTCCTTAGAATAGCGATACACAAAGAACCACTAAAAAATTCATTCCTAAAGTAAATATTCAATAGATCTGCACAATACCCTTTCAATTAACATTTCATTTGGACTAAGCAGACAATTAGTGTAAATTCTTACACTACAATTTAACACATATCTAACATGATTACATCATAATATGGCACTGTAAACATACCGTCTTTGAAGGATCCCCCTTTCCTTTGGTTGGATTTCCTTCTTAATGTTTTCTAAATGTGAGAGATCAGCACTGTGAGATCAGTGAGTAACATTGGCAGCTTTGCTGAATCCATAACCACACAGGTATGCTTACTGCCATCATCTGATGCTTAGAGTGGAGAACCAGCATCTTTAAAAGCTGGGTTCTGCGGAATTCTGTCCCACAAATAAAAATTAAGATCACATTCCCCATTCCTGTACTTACCTTTGAAGACACTGAGGTCAAGTGCTCAGTATTTTTTCTGCAACTCCAATGACCACAATCCATTACGCAGCACACCAAAGATGGGTTAATACCCTGGTATTATTAAAATCCTGCCTATGGCCCTGACGTTCCCTGATATTTTCAGGCTGATCCTTAGAGTGGTAGATGTGTCCCACACTCACATTCAAATCCAATGCCGAGCAGCTATACGGGTAAATACCGGCACACGCGCATGAGTCCGAATGCACTGAAGGATACGGATGAGAGATAAAATTTCAGGACTCAAAGTGACCTTCGCCCAGCAGTAACCGTCAAACTGACCTTCGCCCAGCAGTCACCTTAAATATAAGAACTTTATCTGAACTGCTCAGTATGAAGTCACCCGTAGGACAAAAGGGATGCTCTATAAAACTTTAAACTTTATAAGTTACAGTAGTACTACACAGAGAAACGCAGCCCGAGGCGGTGTTTCTGAGACAGCGCGTTATAAGCGGGAGGCGGGAAGCCTTAGGTGACACTTGCCTTGTCGCTGTCTTGGCTGGACAGAGGCTGGGTTCCCGCGGCCGCCTCCTCGCCCACAGGCTTCTGCGTGGACGTGGGCAGCGGCCTACTATCGGCGGGAGTGGCAACCGCCACGCGGTACGACATGTTCCTGCGGCTCCTGCGGAAGCCACCGCCCTCGCCCTCGCTGTCGTAGTCCTCCCAGGACACCTGGGGCAGCGCGGGGGCCGGTTGGTCCTCCCGTACCACGGGCAGGGTGACCACGGTGGTATGATGCCGGGGCCTTGGCCGGCTGGTTACCGCCAGGTTCTTCGGGATGAGCTGCCGCTTGGCCATCTTCCAGGCGGCCGGGCTCTGACTACTGAGCAGCGCCGACCCCTGCGGCTCATTCGGCCCATCTGCCATGGCTTCCCCTCTCGCTGCTCCAAATCCAATTGCCCCTTGAGTAGGAGAGGTGCCTGATCACCCGTGGGGCCGTCCGGAAGCCTCAGAGACACGCCACGCCGATTTTCTTCCTCTCTTCATGCAAATCTCTTCCACCAGCGTTGTGCAGACCAGAGACCCCCAGATATGGTTCAAAAACGTGGATCGCTGTCATGGAAAACACAGCTGTAGCCATAATCGGTATTTTCACCCCAGATTTTCAGTTTAAAGCCGTTAACCGCCCATTAGATCTTTCCTTGTCATATGAAGCAGGGAAACCTCTGATTTGTTTGACACTAACTAGTGAAAAATGACATTTAGTTACTTATCCTCTGATGCTTAAACAATACAGAGTCACAGGCAGAAGGAAGTAAAATCCAGACAGCACAGGACACCTGGTTGGGGACACCTGGGATGACATGCTGATCTGTCACAGGGTGAGTATTCTTATACACACTCACAGGTTTGTAATTATGTCTTTGTGGGGACTCTCCACTCATTTCTATGGGTAAAAACGCTAATCCCAACATGACGACCTTAACCCCTACCCAGCCCTAACCTTAACCATAAGTAACCACATAAATACAATAGGAGACTTATAACAAGATTTCATCACATTGTGGGGACATTTATATAATATATACATACATACGTCGTGGCCAATTCATCAAGCCGCGCGTCCTTCAATTTCTGACGAAACACACATACATGCAGAGTCCGATCGCCATCAAAACATACACACAGCACATAGGTATATAAGCGCTTTAAATCTACGTTTACGGTGTCATTGAAAACTCACCAGTTCCTCAAACAATACACTGTAACGCCGCCTCTACTATAATTCCCTAGAGAACTTCCAGACTGTTGCGACACACGCAGTTCTAACATAGATTTCTTTTTTTCCGCCCATTAAACTGCCCCGCAGGTATTAGGAGCCATTGCGCGGAGGGTGCTTAATCTCCCCCGAATTCCAGCGCAGAGCTGCGCTTCATTATGACTCGCAGGGGTCGCGGACTCTCCGGCGCAGCAGAAAACAAGAGAGAAAACAGGAAGAACTCATGGCAGCGACACAACGCAGCCATTCTGCAAATACAAGCAAAGTCACCTGCCCAGATACATATAATGTTACCTGTCCAACAAATCAACTGCTGCTATATAAGTATGTAGCAAAATAAATCACGACCAGAATAAAAGTGCTACACGGCCACCTTAAAGTTATGCCACAAAGATGGTATGGCGCAATACCGAACAGCTATCGAGTATCGATCGACTTTTACATAGTATTCTGCAGAACTTCTAAACATTTGTCGCGTGTTGTCGGATTTCCTCGCTGTATATCCATTAGCATTGGCTGGAAGCTGCAGAGCCGCACTGACGCCTTGCTCGATTTCTCGACAGCCCGTGTTTGTAATGGGAAATTCGCTTTACTTGTACGTCACTTTGGGAAAAAAAAAGTCAGCTAAATAAATAGAAATAAACATGACATCCGTTAAAATCCTGATCACCTGACTAGTTACCCATAAGTCTTTAATATAAAAGCCATGTCCCTTTTTTATTGAAACGTACCTGCACCACAGAAACGCCGCGGACCGACGCGTACTGTCCCGTAGGGCCGCCAGAGCCGCTGCGCTATCCCCTCTTCCGCTCAGTCCCACCCCGTCCCTGCAGATCCAGGTGCCGGTAAAGCACTTCCTACCTGTCAACGTATTGCTCAGTCCGCCAGCTCACCCTAGGTGTGACCTCCATTCCGTTTCCTTAAGCACGTCCTACGGCAACGATTTGAATAACCGAATACCTGGCCCACGTTCATGGCAAGCCGTTTTAACATTTAATCGCTAGACTGGATATGTATTGCAGATACCTCTAATTAATTTCTTCCTAGTCAAAAAGAACATTTCAGATATCCACAATGGCATTCTTCCTATCCACAATTGTCATTTCAGATATCCACATCGTCATTCATCTTAGGAGAAATTACGTCACTTTTGCCATTCATGTCTATTGGGCTTTTAATTTCAGATTTCCGCAATTATATTTCAGATATCCAGAATGTTCATTCTGTATATCTGCAATTGAATTCTTACCAGGAAAAACTTCCATTTCAGATATCTACAATTCAACTGTTACTAGTCATAATTTTAATTTCAGATATCCGAAAGGATACCACCATTTTAGATATCCATAATGTAATTTTGAATATTTGAAATGCTCTTTTTGACTAGTAAGAATACAATTTTGACTAGGAGAGAAGCTATTGTCCATCCATCCATCCATCATCTTCTGTTTGATCCGCGGGGGCAGCACTCTCAGCAGGGAAACCCAGGCTTCCCTCTCCCTGGCCACTTCATCCAGCTCCTCCGGGGCGGAGTCAAGCCGAGAGACATAGTCCCTCCAGCGTGTCCTGGGTCTTCTCTGGGGCCTCCTCCCAGTGGGACATGCCCGGAACACCTCACCAGGGAGGTGTCCAGGTAGCATCCAAAGCAGATGCTCGAGCCACCTCATCTGGCTCCTCTCATTGCAGAGGAGCAGCAGCTCTACTCTGAGTCCCTCCCGAATGACCGAGCTCCTCACCCTATCTCTAAGGGAGAGCCCAGCCACCCTGCGGAGGAAACCCATTTCGGCTGCTTGTACTCATGATCTCGTTCTTTTGGTCACTACCCACAGCTCGTGACCATAGGTGAGGGTCGGAACGTAGATCGACTGGTAAATCAAGAGCTTTGCCTTTTCGCTCAGCTCTTTCTTCACCATGACAGACCGATGCAGCGCCCGCATCACTGCGGACGCCGCACCGATCCGCCTGTTGATCTCCTGCTCCATCCTTCCCTCACTCGTGAACAAGACCCCGAGATACTTAAACTCCTCCACTTGGGGGAGGACCCCCTCCCCGACACGGAGAGACCATTCTACCCTTTTCCGGCTGAGGACCATGGTCTCGGATTTGGAGGTGCTGATTCTCATCCCAGCCGCTTCACACTCGGCTGTGAACTGTCCCAGTGAGAGCCGAAGGTCACGGTCCGATGAAGCCAACATAACCACATCATCTGCAAAAAGCAGAGAACTAATCCTGAGGTCACCAAACCGGACATCCTCAACGTCCTGGCTGCACCTAGAAATTCTGTCCATAAAAACTATGAACAGAATCGGTGACAAAGGGCAGCCCTGACGGAGTCCAACCCTCACCGGAAACGAGTCCGACTTATTGCTGACCATGCGGACCAAGCTCTGGCACCGGTCATACAGGGACCGAACAGCCCTTATAAGGCAGCCCGGCACCCCATACTCCCGGAGCACCCCCCACTGGACTCCCCGAGGGACACGGTCAAATGCCTTCTCCAAGTCCACAAAACACATGTAGACTGGTTGGGCAAACTCCCATGAACCCTCCAGAACCCTGAGAGTACAGAGCTGGTCCACTTTTCCACAGCCAGGGCGAATACCACACTGCTCCTCCTGAATCCGAGGTTTGATAATCCGGCGGACCCTCCTCTCCAGAACCCGTGAATAGACCTTACCAAGGAGGCTGAAGAGTGTGATCCCCCTATAGTTGGAGCACACCCTCTGGTCCCCCTTCTTAAAGAGGGGGACCACCACCCCAGTCTGCCAGTCCATAGGCACTGCCCTCGATGTCCACGCGATGCTGCAGATGCGTGTCAACCAGGACAGCCCCACAACATCCAGAGCCTTAAGGAACTCCGGGCGGATCTCATCCACCCCCGGGGCCCGGCCACTGAGGAGCTTTTTAACCGCCTCAGCGACCTCCGCCCCAGAGATAGGGGAGTCCACCCTCCAAGTCACCAGACTCCTCATTGGAAGGCGTGTCGGTGGGATTGAGGAGGTCTTCGAAGTACTCCCTCCATCAACCCAAAACGTCCCGAGTTGAGGCCAAGCGCCCCATCCCTACCATAAACAGTGTTGATATTGCACCGCTTTCCCACCCGGAGCCGCCGGATGGTGGACTAGAATCGCCTCGAAGCCGTCCGGAAGTCGTTTTCCATGGCCTCGCCAAACTCCTCCTACACCCGAGTTTTTGCCTCAGCGACCACCGAAGCCGCATCCCGCTTGGCCTGCCGGTACTCATCAGCTGCCTCTGGAGTCCCACAGGCTAAAAAGGCCCGATAGGACTCCTTCTTCAGCCTGACGGCATCCCTCACCACTGGTGTCCACCAGCGGGTTCGGGGATTGCCGCCGCGACAGGCACCGACCACCTTACGGCCACAGCTCCGGTCAGCCGCCTCCACAATGGAGGCGCGGAACATGGCCCATTCGGACTCGATGTCCCCCGCCTCCCCCGGGACATGCGAGAAGTTCTGCCGGAGGTAGGAGTTGAAACTCCTCCTGACAGGGGATCCCACCAGACATTCCCAGCAGACCCGCACTATACGCTTGGGCCTGCCAGGCCTGGCCGGCTTCCTCCCCCACCAGCAGAGCCAACCCAGCACCACAATTCTTTATGGAGGATATTGTAACTGAAAAACAGTAAATATGCTAAGGTGAATTATAAACAAACAGATACATAAAACAGTGTAATGGTTGGCCCTGTGGGCTCATATCTCTGGGACCCGGGTTCGAGTCTCCGCCATGGCAGTGTGGAGTTTGCATGTTCTCCCCATGCCGTCGTGGGGTTTACGTCGGGTACTCTGGTGTGCCCCCACGATCCAACAACATGCTGAGGCTAACTGGACTTCCCAAAATGCCCGCAGATGTGTGTCTGAATGGTGTGATTGTGCCCTGCACTGAGTTGGCCCCCCATCCTGGGTTGTTCTCCGCCTTGTGCGTGTAGCTTCTGATATATGATCCACACCCCCATGACTCTGCATAGGATTGACAATCGGGGGCCTGAAGCACATTATAGGATGCAGTCGGGCGTGTCTAGGATGCACTCTGATGTGATGCATTAACAAGCATATTTCTGTCATTTACTAATTTATAATTTTTCTAACTTCACTAACACGCGGACTGGATCTCTAAAAAACTCTCAAATGTAGTTGTGTGGTAGAACTTAAGTGATCAAATACCGTTCAATTATGGGTCTTTTGAACTGCAGTCATGAAACTTGTGCTTTGATGCAGCTGGAGATGATCTGTTCAGTAATCTGTCTTTTTATTCACAGCATCCCTGAAGGACCCAGACATTTCATGGACCGTTAGGGTATCATACAGAGCATCGGGTCACCAACGGTCCATTACAAAAGGCCGTGGTCACGACTTGCTCACTTGCTCACCAGCATTACTGAGTGTGAGTGTTGTTCGTAGCTTGTGGTTACCCTGGGACTTGTGGTTCTGGGACTATGCCACAGGTGACTGGAACACACTGGGGCGCTCCGGGATAAAAGGCTCACAGGGACAGCTGCTACGTCACTAACTATGCTGTGCTTATGCTGCATTTTATTTTATTATTTGGGAATAATGAATACAACATAAAACCTTCCCCGTCATTACTGGCATCTCTCACACACAGGCATTTGGGAGGAATTTGGGAGGAATTCATGACACACAAACACATGCATTATATTTTTTTCTATGCATGAATGCAAAACATATTGAAGTCTGAAAATATTTTATTTTTACACAGTGAAAGTTCTATAGAGGCAAGACTGTGAACAATAAAATAATATAATTAGTACGATACAATTAAGGGATTGTATATTTCTGCATAAAAAATCTGATAATGGCAAAAAGTCTCTATTTTTAAATTTTAACATGAATATGGCATCCAATGAAGTTAATTCAATATCCCCAAATGGATTCTGAATTAGTACCATGAATTTGTCTGTAGATTCCTATATATATATTTTTTAGCATTTAAAGATTTTTAAAATTAAGCCTTACGTATTTTTCACTATATAGAAAGCAATTTTTATGCACATCTCCAGAAAGACACATTCGGTACATTAAAGAGGTCACTATATTCTACACTTTTTTAAATATATATTGTGCTGCTCTATGCATTGGAATGGTTTTAAAGTTTCTGAATGTCAAAAAATATTAACGAACCAGCACCTTGGTAGTTAAGCTACAGCATGAGAGCAAAATATTTGATTCCAATTGGTCCAATTCGTATTGATGAATGATTCAAATTAACTTCTAAACCAAGACACAGTTCACATAAACTTTGGTGGGGATCATTTCATTGCAATTCATTGCAATATGGACTTTTTCTCAGCAGTATGTAATGGTAAACGTGTTATGCGATATCAGGCATTCTGGGAATTTTGCTGTCCCCACAGTAACTCTAGGTGTCCGTGATATTAACATAACAGTGACTCAGGAATAGTAGCTCCAACTTGTGTAATTATAATCTCTATTTGAAATGCAACAAAGGAGAAATTGGAGTAATTTCTATATTTATATTCGACTGCCTTACTGATGTATGAAGGTTTCATCACATCTCAGACTGCACAGGACCAGTTTAGGATCTATTAATTGGAGGTAATTAAGAGATGAATTCATCACTTGTGGGTTTCGCAGCTTTTTGCGTTTCCATCACATTTTCGCATCTGATGCTAATGCGAAGCACAGACCTCTCGGGGTCTGTCGTGTCAGTCAATGCCACACTTTTCCTCTGGCTTTACGAAACGACCTAAGATCTAAAAAGCATGACAACCAGCCAGCGTTCCCCCCGTACTGCTCTGCACGACACGTGCAGTGAGACAGACCGGCATGAGGACAAAACTCAGTGGTACGGCCAGTCTGACACCTGACGGCCCGGAAATAGCAGCCGCTTGCTAATTCTGTTCGCTTTTCTACGTCGGGAGATTTAGACCGACTGAAGTTCACGTCACACTCGTTTGACACAGGTCTTGTCGTAGTTTGCAGTTTTGTATCTGTCTGGAATAATGTGCCAGTGGAAGAGAAAATAGCAGCTGGCGAGTTGAAACATTTAATAAGATTACAGTAGCAGGCCAGCTAAAGCTACAGGGACCAGCTAAGGCTTCAGGATCCGTCGCCAACAGCTTACAAAGGCAGAGCAGCGGTCTGTGCAGTGGTCTGTGCAGTGGTCTGTGCAAACAGTGCCGATTCCTCTTCAGGTGCTGGTGCCTGTCACGCAAGTCTTTAAGGGGGGGGGCTGTCCTATAGTACGTCAAGGATCGTGTGCAGGGCATGACGTGTGCGACCCACTTTGGGGGGAGGTCATCGTGGTCCTTTATTAGGGGAGGGGAGAGGTGGGCAGGGCAGGATTATGGGGTGTGATCTTCTCTGTGCTCTATGGAGCAGGATGGGGGAGTCTAGCGAAGGGAAGGAGCTGTAGGTAGGGGATGACTGGGAAGGAGGCAGAGACTCGGTCTATTACAGTGTTTCCCAACCCAGTCCTTGAGGACCCACACACAGTCCACATTTTTGCTCCCTCCCAGCTCCTGGTAGGGAGCAAAAACATGGACTGTCCGCAGGTCCCCGAGGACCAGATTGGGAAACACCGGTCTATTGTTTTGTGATGTCTCCTTTCTTTAGGATGATCTGCCGTTGCCAAGGTGCCAGCTTGGTCTCGTCGTAGCCCAGGGTACGTAGCTTCTCCAGCTCCGACTTCTCCTCGTTCTCCTTCTCCATCTTCAGTCTCTCTTCCTCTCTTCTGCATGGATGAAGGCATTGCTTTGTAGGTTACAGACATTTCTCCCATTGATGGATTTAATGCCTTTTTAATGAAGGATATAATCCCTGAATGGGGTCAATATAAAGACTGAACAAAAGCAGACAATGTGTTCTTAATGACCAGCAGATGCTGAGCTGACCAGAGATTAAATACTTCACAAAACGGCCTCTAGAGGGAGATCTTGTTCGGCGTGAAATAGCCTATAAATGTCTTTGCTTTTAATATGACAAAATATAAATTCCAAGTTCCCTCTTTGTGTTCATGCAACAATACTTATACAGGTTACAGTTTCACATATGGGGAAGGATTTTTTTCCCAAGGATGGCAATCTTTTTTTTCTTTTTTTTTGAACACAACTGTTCACTTAGGTGAATGAATACAGTCTTTTACAAAACATACAAGATATTATACAAAATAACTACATTGTAAACAAATCTGATTATTTCAGAGACAGAGTTAGCACCATGTATTATATACAACACACATACAATGGTAATAAGCATAAATGTGGATGCGCTTACCTTTTTTGCTCCCTGTGTGCATGCAGAAAGAAAAACAAAAGAAAATTAGTAAAAAAAAAAAAAATGGCGATATATAACACAGGGTTTCCCAATCCGGTCCTCAGGGACCCACAGACGGTCCATGTGCTGAGCTTATCCTCCCTTCATGAAGCTTTTTTCATGGCTTTTGAATTCCATGCCGCGCTTGGGCTGCCATTTCAGTGACCCGGCCTTGGTGAAATGTTAAACCGTGTATTTGATAAACACACCGCCTACATGTTGTTCTGCTGATGGTTATTAAAGTTTTAAGGGACATAGAGTCATTGTATAGCAGGCCGGTGGACGGGTCGCACACACAAAGCTGAGGGGATCGTAAGCAGTAACTCACATTACCGGATCAGACCTACGCTGCCTTGCCCCGTGTTTATAAATATCATTTAATAATTCCGATTTTAGAATTTATCCTCATTTACGTAACAGGTTTAAATGAATAACAACTGCTGCTTTAATATTCATAACACAGTATGCATGGAAAATCAAGTTAAAAAGGCAAGAAAAAAACAGATCCACTGGCATTCTTCTAATAATAGATACTTTGTACTGATCCCTGTGGGGAAGTTCTCTTTACACCTCCACCGTCTTGCTCTCCGTGAGAATAGGCTTGGCTGTGAAGGGCAGCCACCTGTTGTGGTGCCCAGGGAGCTTGAGGTTAAGGGTCTCACTCAAGGACCTACAGATGTGCCAAAGCTGGGCTTGAACCAGCAACCTTCTGATCACAGGCACAGAGGCTTAGCCCACTGCTGCCTGCTGGCTGCATATGAAAAGTTGCACTGCTAAAAATGTCCTTGTATGTGTGGATAAATGGTTTGGATGATGAATCTGTGGATGGAATGAGGGATCGACGGAAGTGAAGTTGCAACTGAAGAATTAGTGCCCAACAGGCAGCCATGAAGGTCAGCGAGAAAGTGAAGCCAGTTCACAGGAGCAGGGGATGCTGGGGAGTAGCGCCAGCCCTCACTGACCTCTCCTCATCCATCTTCTTCTTCATGATGTCCCTCCTCCAGGCTGGCATGGATGCCAAGCGAGTTGCCTCCTCCTCAGCCTGTAACGGAAGGGGAAGAACGTCTCGCCCGAAACCCAACACACTTAGTAACCATAATGATTCCACGTAGTGAAGCGTCACTATGACAGCACTGCATATGATCATTCTCGGTTTGCAGTGCGCGATGGCTATCAGCCAAAGAACATTATTATAATGGAACTGATTAACATGTGGGACTGGCTAAGTGGGCAGAAAGGCGGCAGTAGCTGGCAGACGAGAGCATTCACAGAGCGTGAAACACGATCCTCTCCGGCCCTTTAAATCATAATGGAAGGGAGGCACTCAATTCAACGCTCTCGTCTTGCCTCCAGGTGGGTCACTCTCAGTGAGCGAGCCCCCCCCCCCCACCCCTGGGCGTCTGGTAACGCGATCGGACGTTTACATTTTTAACGATATTCCCCTGGGAATTATCTAGTGGACCGGAGATGCCTGTTGATAGACAGGCAAGGAAAGTGAGTCGGGCCTGTGTACTGTTACAGACCCAAGCAGGCCGCTGGATAAACCTTCGGCTTTTCTGTCCCCTGAAGCGGAGCAGTTCTGCAGATAATGCATTGTGATTTCAGCCGAACGTCACCTACTCCACCTTACAGGGGCGAGGCAGCAGAGGTGCCGTCGGGATTGAATAACTAGCCATAAAAATTTAAATCACCTCCACAATACAGGCACTAAATAAGGTTGTGTTTCCTGAACTAGAATATTTGAAAGAAATTACCATGATTATTTCATTCCAGGAAAACATTTTTATACATACATTTAAAATACCTGAAGGTCTTTTATGTAGGATCCACATGTAGGTATTATAAACACACAACCAAAATACACAATTCAGTACCTATCAATCTCTAACAGTAAGAAACTAGCACCAAAAACAGGTGTCAAACTAAAACTGGTTGCTGGTTGGTATATAACTAGATTTTCAGCATATAATTCATTAACATACTTATATATACTTACTATATAAAACAATATGACAAGGGGTAGTGTGGCTAAACCTTTATGTGCAGATTTCATTCACATTTTCTAATGTACATCTCCCGTAAAACTGTTTGAGTTACATACAGTTACATTTAAATCGATGCAGCCTCTTTCCGTGACCCGCCCAATGACTGCCGCATCTGCAGTATCACTGTGACCAGTAGCCAAAAATGACTTCATTATACTAATACACAAGTTTCCAACCATCAAAAAACAGTATCCAGACAAAGTCACTTAAATAAAAATTTGCTAGCATATCAATGTGGCCACTGGTCGAACTGTGCACTTCCCGTTTGTTTACATGAATAGCATAACACTCATCGTACAGTATGTTGATCTCGGCATTTGTATCTCTGTAAGGGAATGACTTTTAAAACTTAGGATACAAAGCCAGGAAAGGAATTTAGGAAATATAAACAACAATTAAACACAGGTTAGACACTTTTATGCACTTTTATCTGTTGTTTTCAACACTGGGTAAACTGAAGGTACTGTGGGAAAATGTGACCAAACAGATTTATATTGGTTGTTGCCAAGGGGTAAAGGTTTCAAAATAATGTGTTTTACCAAGGGCAGAAGTCTCCAAAATGCTTATAATGCCAAGGGAAATTAGCAAGTCTGTGAGCACAAGTGTTTTTACAATTCAAGTTTTTTTATCCATGTAAATAAAACTTTTGGAAACTAGTTTGTGTTTGCTTTGCATGTAGTGACTGTCAGGATTTGAAGTAGACCGTGTTTGGGTATGTTTGTTTTAAGCGTTTAATTCCGGGAAGGACCGATCACTTGTGCTATTTTCAAATAAGAAGTGCGGACTAAGAGGTAACAATATTTAAGAAGGGAAACATTTAGCAAAACATTTAACAGCAAACTATTTTGCTCGGCTTATTATATGCTCTGAGGTGTTTTTGGCATAAGAGATGATTATTCAGATGTCGCTGCATAATACAACTCACTACAGCACAGTCACAATAAGTGTGAAGAAGATATTTCTATAGTTTGCACCTTTACAATTATTCTATGTCATCATAGAATAGTCCGTACATAAACATGGCTTTTTAGCACCGATATATTAAAATATGTTCCACAATGTAATTAATATGTATTGTGTCAATACACAAAAAGACTTTACATTCTAGAGAAAGGCCATGTAAGCAATGTCTCTGTAACGATATCTTCAGCCTTGCACACCACTAAGTATAGAATAATCTCTATGGATACGAGCTAAGCCCCTCCCACTGTTCGAGAGGCTGATTGGTGGAGATGATCAAAAGCCATCCAATGAAATTCCTTGCAGTGGCAGTAAGCCGTAAGGTTAGCGTGACGCTAAGAGGGTTAGCTGCTCTTATGGAGCCAGTCATTCGATCAGCCAGCATGGAACAGAACTGGGTTGGGACAAGCACCCTCAGCTCTGCAGCTACAGCTCCTGACCACAGTTACTTACTAAGCGGACCTTCTTAAAGAGGAACAGATGTGATGCTTATCTAAGAAAGCATCACAGGCTATAAGAAACACCTTCTATTGTAAGTAACATGATTAGCTGAGTAAAGAGAATCAGATACAATCCATTCCTGTTTTAAAAATTACAAATAAGCATCTTTTAATGCCTCTAAACACCCAACAGTTACTACAGATAGTCCAGATGGATACACTGGCCCAACAATGCCCAGACAAATTGGGGGGCACCGAACTGATTGTTATAGAGGCGCCTCTCTGTCATTTCAAAGCATTTTCAAATTGTCTGCTATAATCCTGCCAGACAATGTAACACTTCTCCTTTGTGTAGTTAAACCCATAACAAAATGTTCCTCTAAGAGCTGGGACTGATTCCCACCGTGCTCCATGAGCCCTCTGGGCTGAGGAGGATCAGAGAAGCAAAAGTGGGTTACGTTCCATCAGCATGTTCGACAGGATTGGGGTGAAATCCAGCAAACTGTAACAATGAGGATGAGAATTGCACTGAAGGATTATTCCAAGATGAGAGTAATTATGAAAAGGAAGACCTATTTAGACTCAATAAAGAGATCATATTTAATTCAAACAAGACAGAAGCCTGTGCAAATGATACCTAAACTGCAGCTAATGTGCACTTCTAGCCAAATCTATGCCCTGCTTCTCTGTAGTATAAAGGACAAATCTCAACACTAACTGGATTTATACAAAGGAGGTGAAAATGATCTTAACTAAGAAGCAATTTGAAAACCCAGATGATGCACTCTTTGATGGATTACCAGTTAATCTGTCTACCTGTGACAAAGCAGTACACCAATAAAAGATTTTTTGTATAAAGCATATTACTGTATTTGGCATCTTAAAATATCATCAGCAAAGGTCATGTTTAAAGTGAGCTTTCCTGGTTAATTAAAGTAGCCCTTATGGAAGACAAACAAGGTAAACCAAGCAATAAAACTCAAAAAATAAAGTTTATAGGGCTCCAATTGCAAAACAGAATTTTTACATAAGCCATGACCTTCACCTACAAAGGGGGAGTTAAAAATTAATTCATTTATGGAATTCATTTATTTATGGGATCCAAAGACAAATTCTCTAGACTTTCATTAAAATATATCACAGGGAAGCAACATTTCTCACTGAAATTTCAATTACTATTAAGACTTAGGCTCCGCCTCTCGTGCTGTCATTAACACGAACAGTGCAGATGTCTCAGTGAAGTGACACACCCGTCAGGGTCCATGTGCAGCTCACTACAAAGTTTAAATGCGATAACTACAGGCTTCAACCACAAGTGCATCTACGTCACAGAAGAAACGTAACTGGCCAATCAAATGAGCAGCTGTGCTGTTTTACACCTTATCAGACTTATCAATATTGAACCAGTAGCTGCTATCGCCTGTCTGTTTGGCTGCTTTGCCGGTCAACCGAGAGAAATGATTATGTAAGCTAATGAACTGAAGTATGCAGGTCAAAGAAAAGGCATTATTAAGCATGTGGGAGGAAAACTGTAAAGTTAAAGCACTAAGGAATGGCCTATTAAGCTGAATATTCCCTAAAAAGAAATGTAAAATATTTTTTTACAGCTTTGAGGAAGTCACCACGATGTTTATTTTTCAGATTTGTAAGGACAGTAAGTCCTGTACACAAATTTCTTTGCCATGTGACTAAATTAAACCTGTTTAAAATGAACTGGTTTAATATGTTTGCATTTAGTTAAGTCAGCTAACTTCCCCTCCCCCCCCCACCCCCCATTTAAGGATGGCAGACAATGTAGATTTTATTCCTGTTGTTGCTTTGGTCTGCTGGGGTTTTTACCTGCACGCTGAGGGACATCACCTGAGATTTCAGGGGTAAGTAAAGAAACTGCTGACACTGGCTCCACTTGGCCACGCCCCTGACCCAGCGTACCTTGCGTTTGTGCTCCTCCTCTTCCTGGATCTTCATCTGCAGCTTGCGCACCATCACCTGCCTCTTCCAGTCCGGAATGAGGCGGCCCTGTTCGTCATGCGTGGGCACCATGGCGTCCACGTCCACCGGGCCGGCCTTATCCGTGGTGGGCGGGGGCAGCTCTGTGTTGCCATTCAGAACGGGGGGTAGCCGCTCCTGGCTGAGCGAGGTTGCCAGTGCCCGTGGGGTGGACGGACCGGCCGAATTGGGAGTAGTGGGAGGAGTCTCTGGGGGCAGGGACAAGGGCTTTGTGGGCGGAGTGACAGAGGCCGGAGGCGGGGTCGTGGCTGGACTCTCTTCCTGGAATGACAAACTCACCTGTTAGGCCACACACATAAGCTCCTGGGTTAGATGACCGAAGTTTATAACATAAACCCAACAAGTAAGGGTCCTTCCACTGCCAACTCGAGCTGTTATCACCTGCCCAGACTGGCATCCCTTCACAAACAATAAATCAACAGATCTCAAATTTTACAAATGGATTCAGCCAAATAACTGACCAAAATTACATCAGATGTGAAGCAGAGACTGCAACAAGGTCAGAGTCTGTGAGTTAAATACCCAGCCAGCTACAAAACGGCAAACATAATTAACAAGCAATTAGCGTAACAAAGTGGAAAATTTTCCAACGGGCAGGATGTTATGCAACCAGGAATCGCAGCGGGTTCAGCTGTTACGTGAGCGGCCGGCAAAAGAAGGCTGTCACAGGCTCACACGTGCTTTCCACGTATTCACTAGGAGGTCATTCAAAGTCTGATTCACGGGGATGAAAAGCAAGGAATTTGTAAATGCTGAGGTGCAGGTCCGGGAGGGACAGCACTCATGGCCGCGTTAAGGTTAGGGGGTCACTGCATTCAGCTCGCCAGTGACACGCCGGTTTAGATCAAAAAGAAACTTTGCTGAGTAGTTTCACAAAGTTCACATTCAATGACTTTAACACCCAATAAAAGGTGCTTATTTTTCAGCAAAGTTTTATATAAAATACAAGAGAATTGAATGGATTGATAGTGAAAAGAACATTTTTTATTGTTAAATATATGTTCTGTTGTTTTCTAAGCCTCATGTAAAACGCTTTCTTGTTCTCAGTTTTTGGGGCAAGAAACCACATCCCTAAGGTGATTCTGATAGAAAACAACTGTCTGTGTACGGGCTGAAAGATCTGTGTATGGACTGAAACTTCTTGGTCATTCTCAAGAGATCCTGAAACCAGCTATGGTACACTGACATTGACTGGGTTACATTGACAAACCACATCTATTCTGGACAATGGATAACAAACGACCAATCTCTTCCATAGAAAACAGTACCTTTGGTGATTAACACCTATTATTACTGGGTGCCAATGAGCGAGGCGGATCATTTTGCCCCTGCTGATGTGTTTGTACACATCACAATAACTGTGACTAAAAGGTCTGTCCTTGACAATGACATTTACCAGCACTGGCAGAAAGGGGACTTTGAAACCTACAATGGGCAGGTTTATGGCATGCTGTCAATCACCAGTATGATAAACCCATTGGGAACCAATAAAGTCCCAAAAAGGGAAGTGGGTTAAACCAAAGATTTACCGATATTCATTAAAAATTCTGCCCACTGACAATTTCCAAGCCGTACCGCGATATTCTGTTAACCGTGGTATGTGACAGTGGTGTGTGAAAGTGGTGTATAACCATGGTGTGTGACCGTGGTGTGTGACAGTGGTGTGTGACCGTGGTGTGTGACAGTGGTGTATGACAGTGGTGTGTGACAGTGGTGTGTGACCGTGGTGTGTGACAGTGGTGTGTGACAGTGGTGTGTGACAGTGATGTTTGACTGTGGTGTATGACAGTGGTGTGTGACCGTGGTGTGTGACCGTGGTGTGTGACAGTGATGTTTGACTGTGGTGTATGACAGTGGTATATGACAGTGGTGCGGTTGATGCTCACGTTGCTCCCGGGAGCCCCGCCGCTGGAGAAGACGGTGGTGTATCCTTTGCTCTGGGGCGTCGGCTTCAGGCTTTTCCCGGCCTTAATTTCAGCCAGAAGTTCAGAGTTGTCGCTAGTCGGGGACATCATGTTGAAGGACTTGGCGCCTGCGGTGAAGAAGACGGAGGGCCAGAGGACGGTTTAGCAAGCCGGGGGCCGAAATGATCTCGTGTGGAGCCCACAGGGCACACGCCACACGCCCAAGCAGGAGAGCAGCTGGCTCTGAGGGCACGGAGGCCGAACACAGTCACATCAAAGACAGAACGCTGGAACAGCCGCCTACAATGGATACATGTCTCAGCGCTGAAGAAACCGCTGTACCAGTGAGGCTCCATTACAATATTTTGAAACGTATCTAATTATGAACTAATGACCCCCGCAGACACAGTCCTTGCCTCTGTCACTCCCCCACTACTCTGCACACATCTCTGTACTGTACATACTTTTTCATCTACTGGACATCATATATTTTATACCTTTATGTTCCAGTATTCAAATACCTCACATCCCCATGACGTCCTTATAATTAAATTGCACAGCTTGCGCTGCTCTGCAGTCTTTTATACCTTTATTTTACTATTTTATTTCTACTTATCTATTTTTCTCAATTTATGTTCTTGTTTTTTATGGTAATACTGCTAAAACAAATTCCTTGTACATGCCGTGGTAACTGGTCAATAAAGTGAATCCTGATTCTGGTTCTGATTCTGATGTTATACTGTTAATTGAACTAAATAAAGCACAGACTGCTGAAACAAGTCAAACACACAAGAAATCACATAGTATGTTTCAATGAGGATTTACCTTGGTTCTAAATTCTTTACCATACTTGCTGAATTCACAGACTAATCACCCAATATCTTAAAACAGCAGCTTATTTTATCTGTGTTTCGCTCCCGATTGTAATGTCCTTTAACATCAAAGTATGGCTGTAAATATTACCTATTTCAGTCATGGTTACTAAGGAAACCAGACTTTGCTACAAAAATCTGATTTAAGGGTATGTAATTAAACAAACAGCATGCTAGTGGGCTGATTAAAATATCTGTAAACCTCATCTGTGTACTTAGACTTTAAAACAGCACCCTCCTGCTCCACAGAGAAACAGTTCTATCCTCACAGCAAGACCATACTTTTAACTCAAGACTCAAATTTATTCTAAATAATCTTCAGTGCCAACTATGCACATAATCCTTACAGGCGTGTCTTGCAGACTTACGATATTAAACGCCAATACAAAGATAAACAGATACGTCACCTGTTTTCAAGTAGGAAAGTCTTTAAAACAAGCATCAGATTCAGCTCAGTCCTGCTTGGGAAGTAAAAACTGAACTTGCAGTACTGAGTGGAGATTGAGATAGACCCCCCCCCCCTTTCTCTCTCTCTCTCTCTCTCTCTCTCTCTCTGCCCTGGGAAAACAAAGCCACTCATGTCTGGGAAGAAAAAAAAATCTGAAGCAATCAGCAGTAATTAACGACGACACCAAACAGTCGCCAAACGGCAAAGGATTTAAGTCCACTGTCCACATGCTTCGTCTGCCCCCCGCTGCCCGCCCTCCCCCAGGCCATCAGCTCATCCTCAAGTCCTCTCGCAGCAAACAGAGCTGCTGTGCATACAGTGGATTACCAGGAAGGATCTCTGCAGTGGGTCTGGGAGTGCAGTGGCCCAGCGCTCACGCTCCTGCCTGGCCAGCATCTCCACTGCCATCGTCCACACACCTCACCACCTCCGGCACCACAGACCAAAAACGCTCCACTGTAAGTTTACTAAAAACCACTGAACTTTGACAGGCTTTGCCCCACCTCACTGTCAAATCACTGGACATAGAGTGGCAGTAACATTTACTAACAGTTAAATTCATCCATACACCTTCCAACTATTTACCCAGCGCACTACGAGCTCTATGCAACAGTTAGTTATAACCCACCTGTTTGCTTAGGTGTTTCAGGTGAGATCATGCCACAAAGGACTAATATTCATAAAATGTGGCTAATATAAATGAATTACTTTAACTTTAGAAGTCGTCTTAGCACAAAAGCAGCAGTCAGTGCCTTTATGAAGCTCCTCCCATGATGTAAGTATTATGGGATAGAGAAATGGAGCGAGAGAAGAGGAAATAGTTTAATAACTATAACACATCCTACCATCACCCTTACTGTCCAGGCTGATCTTCATCGCCATCACATTCCGGTCGGCCCTTTTCCTCACCATTTAGACAGGAGAATACGACAAAGAGCGCGGCGGAGCATTACGTAAGACCTGGGGGCTGCGAGGTGGCAGCGGGGCGTGGGAGCACACCGGTGGCCCGGTGACAGCTGGCAGGTCTGCTCTATACAGGTCCCACCCGCGAGCAAACACAGCACAATGAGGGAGGGGCTGAGGATTACGGCCTCACAATGGCGTCCGCGGGTCACCTGCCCGTGTGTGGAGAGCCGGCAGGATCCGCCGCCACAGACGCGGAGAGTCACATGGCTGCTACCCACCACCCAGACCCCAATAAGCTCAGCTTGATTGGAGGAATGATCACTACGCATGAACCTATGAGTGGCTGCCGGCTCAGAATGTCCTAGCACTGCTATTACAGTTACGGTTTTTTACTTTAGTTTATTTTCTACTATTTTCTATTTTATTTTGAAATCCAGTTTAGTTTTTATTTTTATTTGAAAGATATATACAGAAACTAATAAAAATAGTTTTAGTTTAAGCAATTCAGCTACCCGACAGAGCAGAATGTTGCCATCTATGACATCTTTTACTGTAAACAAGTATCACAATGGCAAAGTATTTGAGGTTTGTTTGCATTCTTTGTTAGTTTCAGAAGCAATATTTATTTTCATATAGCCATAGTTTATTTTTTCATACCTTATTTAATTTCAGTTTACAACAATGTTTTCTTGTAGTTTCAGTTTCAGTTTTTGTTAACAGTGACACCCTGGTGCTTTAATCATGGGGAAGAAAAGGTTAGTCGCCACAATCCGGTGCACCTTCATCAGGAACCCACATTTCACACCAAAGAACAGTTCAAAGGGGAACCAAAAGAGGGCGCTTCCCATCGGCTGGGAGAACAGCGAGTGGGAATGCTGGAAGCCGTTTGGAATGACAGCAAGCAGGATACCAAAGGCAAGAAAAGCATCAGACTGGGGGGGGGTTATGATGCATCACAACATCCTAATTAACTACAAAATACATCAGAAGTCTAGATGGTGTCATAGCGGAAAATATGCCGATGATGCTAACAGGATTGACGCCAGTCATTTGTCCGCCACACATCTGAAGTTTCCGCAGTGGTATTGGGGGTATTGGGGGCTGCCTGGTCACACACCTTCTCACACTTTCCAATTCTTGAAATGCCACTTGGAAAACTTCATATTGCCATTTCAGGGTTCCCATAGAAACCATAATTAGGGTTAAGAGGGCGGGGGGGGGGATCTTCCGAGTATTCGGAGAGGCCTAAAATATGCCTGACAGCACATCCCTAAAATAACGTACGTTCAGGCAAACGAGATACGCCGTTCCAGATCAGGAGGAAATCTGGAAAAAAAAGCCTATATAGTCAATATTTACAGTTCATTTTTCCCTAATAACTTCACAGTTTTCATGTAAGAAATACTTAACAGTCTAATGAACTTACAATCAACGGCGGGCTAGCTGTTAGCTAATCAGCCAATCACCTGAATGCCCCTGACATCAGACAACAGCTGAGTCTTGAGTCAAAAAGGGGGGGGGGGCAGTTACCGTCATAACTGTGCCCTTTTTTTGAGGGTAAGACAGACACCGCTTCCATCTACAGCGTCCCTGTTTTATGGGCACCTCAAACACTACACAGACATTTTGCATGTTGCCCTTGTTTAGCAAAGAACAAGCTGGCTTAGGCAAAACACTAGTTTTCCAAGTCAAAGTGTGTCTGAGTCACGAAATAGTGACAATGGACCCCTTCAGGGCCACTGAAGTACTGGATTCCTCGAGAAAACAGCGGCGGTCTGTGGATTGGTTGGACGGCTTCAAATTATTATTTTTCTCTTGAACACTAATTGCACCCAGTGCTACTACATCCATCTCAAAAACACAGAGATACCTCTTCAAATTAATACCAGCACTCTGCCTTTAAAGCAGCCAGCAGTCACTGGTGGTATGAACACGGGTTCGATGGGGGACACGCTGTATGTTTCTGAGGGTCTGCAGAAGCCCTATGTAGGTATGTGGTTTTTCCACTGACAACACAGAACTTCATAACCTCAGACCGTCTGGCCCCAACAGTGATGCATTCAGCTGATCTGCGAAAATGTACAGTCAATACTGGGAGTGGATTTGGTAGGTATGGTCTCAGGCCCCTAAAAAAACTGAAATTAACATCGATGCCGTTTTCCTTGGCATGCACCCATAATGCAACACTCTCCAGGGACACGAGAGAAGTTCCAACTCGTGACAAAGAATACATTATCTTCCTGAGAGTTACTATTTAATTCAGTTCATAATTAAGATGGAGTAGCATGGCTTCAGAAAAAGGTAGAGAGTGTTCACTTAAAGGACAAATTAAATAAAGGTGGACACTAACGAGAAAATTAATAGTTGTAATATTTTTTAATGCTGTATTATTTATTCTGTTATATTGTCTATTGCAGTAGTTGCCAAACATTTTTACAGTAAGAGCTACTTTTACAAGAAAAATAATCTGGGGAGTTATTGAGGTGCAATGGTATATTTTGTCACTGCGGGGGCCTCTCAAACACTATATGGACAAAAATATTGGCTATTACATCTACTGGAACTTTTATGACATCCCAGGCTAAATCCATAACCACAGACACAGACACACTCCAAAATCTTACGGAAAGCCGTCCCAGAAGAGTGGCAGCTGTTATAGCTGCAAAGGGGGGGGGCAACTCCATACTGATGTATATGGATCTAGAATGGGATGCCATAAAAGCTACTTTGGGTGTAATGGCCAGGAGTCCCAATACCTTTGTGCATATAGTGCATTAGTATATATGAGGGAGGGACCCTCTGTATGTCTGTCTTAGCGATTCACCTTTCAATCGCGATCGACCTCTTGGAGATCACTGGCATATTCTGTTACTATTATTATGTCTGATGCTTGCACTAAGACTCTCTACTACCTCAGTTTGTTTTGCATGAGCACAATGACAATAAAGTTAAGTAATAACAACAACAACAACAATAATAATAAAAATAAATAAAAAAATAAAATTATAATAATAATTATAATTGTACATCACAGGCGGGAAACTGCCCCCTTCTCCAAGCTGCAAACGTACCAGACCGACCCGCCGCCGCTGGCCAGGATCCACCGTACAATTACGGAAATGAGCGAACCCTAAACCGGCCGGGACAGAAACCGGAGCCTCGCTTCTATAAATGCGTAATCAGCCGTACGAGTCACTTCAAAGGCTCCGGCTGACGGGTTTTAAGCTCCTTTCAAAGCGCAAAAAAGCAACAGGTTGCTAATGCGAACAGATTCTGAATTTATCCGCCTTTCTGGAATAGCGTGTGTAATAAGTCATGGAGAGGACAGGACCCCCCCCCTGACAGGTCCAATATGGGTCGGGGGGGATTCATATCGGAGCCACTCACTTCCAGAGGACGAGGAGGACATTCTCCGGTGGCCGCCCTCGCTGGGCTGCTGGGGTGACGACTCCGAGGGCGGTGGGGGGGGTGGCGGAGGTGGCGGCGGGGGGGTGCTTTGGCTCTCTGGCAGGGGGGGTGGCGGAGGGGGTAGGGGCAGCTCCTCCGCTGTGCCGTTCTCAGGGCTCGGGGGGCTGTTCGCCGTGTC